TTGTACGCTTGTGTATTCCCATACTATACACGTATTGTAGTGATGAGCTACTCGAGACTCAAACAGGTGCATACTCGTTTAACAGCGCGCGAGTCAACTCCGAAACTTCGGTCGAGCGCGATGTATTATCATATCATACTCCTTGTGTGCTCGCGGAAAATAGATTTTTCTCAATTCTCGTGAACAGTGAGGGCTTTTTGAATTGCTGGATAAATGAATAAACTTAATTACTGTTTAAATGATATTCTTCTGTAATTTATATATTTGAACAAAAATGGCTCATTTTATCATTAGTAAAAATAATTCCTATTTGGTTCATGATTGGTTCATTACAAGAGAATTATTATTATTCAGTTATATTAATTTATAGCTCGATAAATGCGTTATAGTTTACGATTAATGAATCAATCAACCGCAATTGTAAACAAAATCTATAATCGATCAGCTATTATAAATTGCGTAGGGATGTAATTTAATTTTAACCCTTAAATACCACGCGGGGTCCAGCGGACCCCAGACCCTTTACAATTATATATTTTCAAATGTTTCCGCCAAAAATGGAGCTCATGCTCCCATTCATGATAGTTGAGTGATTCCTACTCAGTTTACTTAATTTTTTATACTATGTTGAAATTGAAATTTTAACAATATAAGCATTTTATTCTCTTTTCTAAGCCTTGAACAACATTGAAAATAATTTTCATAACTAAATATCAAAAAATCAATGAGTAAGGAGACATTTTTCATGCTGGGGGGTCTTTTAGACCCCATTTGTCATTTACGAGATTCTTGAGAGGTGTGGCATTTAAGGGTTAAAACTAATAATTCGGTATTTAATCGAATTTAACATTCACAATTTATTATTTTATCGTGCTTAGATTTCAAATGATGAAATTCACCATATAGAAATAGTTAGTAAAAAGTAAACGTCCGTTAAACTATCTGTTAAAATGGTTTTTCGCGGAAACAGATTCTTTTCGCGAGGACGTCCTACGCGATGAAGTTGCAATTTTGCGCATTACACGAAACTAAGTGAAACTAGAGCACAAGCGAGTCGGCTGTAAACTACGATTAAAGTTCGAAACGCGCCGTGCCGTACGGGCGTTATCAGTAGCGCCATTCGTAACAACGTATCCTCCCTTCGTCCTACATTCTCCAATGATAAAACCTACCCATATTATTTCCTATATCGGTCGCTATCTCGCGAAGACAACCTATTATGTTTCCTAAGAAATATAACTTTCGTAAACTTCAACAATCCTAACTTTTTCAATCACATAACTGAAATTATGTAATAAAAAGATTGACACCGTGCAAGTGTTATATCTATGTAATAAAATTTTTCTATTCTTCAAAAATAGTGAAATTTACACAAATATGTACTATAACTTTACTAATATTGTAAAGTCTTATCAATAATATTTTTCTGTATTGTTTTTGTCAATGCTACAATATCTCTCCCTAAAAAATCAAATTTTTATGAACCACTGAAGAATCTCAAATTAAATAAAAACTGCAACACAACTCTGCAGATACGTTCTTCTCTGACAAGCAAACGCATTTGTCGTGCAGGAAATCATGTGGGAAATGGTTAACTCGCACTAACCCGCAATTCCTAACCAGCGAGCTTCAAATTTCGCCTGGCTCTCTCGCGTGAACGATTTACACGGTGCAACGAAGCATGCACACATCCGTTCATCACGATTCCCCTCGTCGTTCTCTCGAGCATTGATTTTGTTGCGGCAATCAAGAGAGACCGGCCAAAGCCCGCTCAAGAGGAGACAGAACGAGATAGAGGCCCGCTCGTCGGATTGGAATCCAGCGGCTCGTGTAACTTCGATGGAATCGAAAGGTAGTCGTTCGGAAGGAAATCGCGGACTCTCTACCTCTATATCCGCATCCTACCCCTCTACCCACCCTTCTTTCTAGTTTAAACTTCTCTTTTTCGCTTCGTTCCCCCTTGGCTTCCTATTTAGACGAGTATCCGGCAATGAACGGTCCTCGCCCTACGTCTGACATTGACCGGCGTTTTCTACTTCGCGACGGCGGTTATCGTTTAGCCTTTCTCCTTGTTATCTCGGATCACGCTTCGCCGCTGCGCACAAGCCGCATTAGCAATAATGATATCCAATTAACGATATGTTGAGTCACAGTAAATCATTGATGCGTTAACGACAGATAATAGCCACACAAATACACGTCTTGGTGGTCAATCCGACTTAACTATAAGGATTTAAAAAGAAGCGTAAAAGATATAAATTTTTATTGTACACGCAAGCCTGTTCGATTATCCACTTTTTAACTGTATTCTTGGAAAACTATTTTGTTAAATGACACGTTTTACATGTACTTTGTGATATCTGTTTTATAAAATACATTCAAATTCTTTACTTTTTTTTTTTAATGTCCTTCTTTGTCTCGTAGATACTCTCTTCTTAAAGTGCATCCATTATTTCTGACTTTACTTGCTTTCGAGATATCGTACGGCAATCAAACGTTTTGTCTCTCATAAATGCTCGCGTGCTTGTCACGGAGCAGTCGCGTGCGGAATATCGCGGGCGCGATTTAATCTTTCGCACGCGTCCGCGAGTCGCTCCTGTTGTAATTCTAAGCGGGGCGCCAGTGCTATTATGCGCAACGATGCCTCAACTGTTGCACGCGAAGGATTAATTTCACGTGCCGGCGCGGCGCGGGCGCGGAGATCTTGTTTGCAATTTCTTGCCCCGCGGGTATTAATACAGGGCGAAATCTCCGGGCCTGAAATTTCTCTCCCGACCCAATTCGCCCTGTGTACATACCAACCGCGTGATCCCGTGGGAGATCTAAAGTTCCAGTCATTTCTTGCCCGGCAGAGCAGGTCACTGAGGTAATCAATGTGCCATCGTTCCCTCAAAAGTCTCTTTGCGATATCAGTCGAGTATTAATTCGCTGAAAGGCTAAACCCAAAAGTTACAGAAACTCATCACAAGACGTTATATAAATAATCGCCCTTAATTAATGTTTCAGTTAACGAAAATTTCAGTTAAGCGAAAATAAAGTAAAAAAAATGTTTTTTTAGCTAGATGCCTTTCGCTTTGATCAGATAATATAACTTATCAGTATTATTACATGCATGATGTATAATATTGCCAATTAATTTTCCAATACCGATGTATCAATTACCGATAATTTCAGAAGTACATAATTTAATTAATTCTAATACATATTAGTAATATCAAAATCTGGTTTATAATCATTAAATTATTCTTTTAATACTAACAAGATAATAATATGTATAAATATTGTTATTCATCGGACAACAAACTTGGATTGAATTTGAATAAAATAGAAAAAATAATGAAAAACCTCTCAAGTTACACATATTGAATAAATTCTCATAAAATAAAATTTTATCGTAGGAATCAGCAAGATGTACCCTTGCATTACAGATGTTAATTCAAGCGAATCTACGAATAGCCGCATTTCTGCTCAGATGGATTTGAAATACCGGCGCTGCTCTGGTATTTGACCCTACGGCTCTTCTCGAGCCCTATTGCCATCACCATCACTACACTCCCTTTACGGTTCGCATCAGTGCGAGCTTCATCGTGTAAGCGCAAGGTCATACCCTAAGAGAAGTTACGGCATAATACTCCGGGCCACTTTCCAGTCCATGCGAAACTTTCAGTGAATTTAGCGGAGCGAAATTAATTAACGGAAGACAATGTTCACCTGCGACCACCAAATTGGCTCGCTCCGCTTTGCAGTTACGAAAATTCGACGACAAATTCACTGTTGCACGATAATCATCGAACCCTGAAGCGGTCATCAGTGAGCATAAATTTATAATACCAACAAGCTACTTAATTGCTGTAAATAATTGTATATTGTAATGTTTATTTCATAATTGTAATTATATATCTCTATGTTTTACCTTTTAATTTATTATAATTAAAAACCAAGTAAAAGGTTCTATTAAATTTCATTATATTGTTTAACGGTTATTAATTCTTATATTGTGTATTTATTTTTAAGTCTTTAGCAAAATTTGCAGTAATAGTCCATACATAGATTGTAATAATGTAGGTAATGTAGGTTGGTTAAATTGACTTTAATGGTAAAGTATGATTTTCCGCGTCAACATCGACGTAAAATTTCGTTTATCATATGATCGACATAGAATAATTTATTTTATCGATTATCCGCTTGAGTGGCATAGTCGGCACGTTTAAACGACACGTTGAAACTCAGTTAAAATCGCTGACAGCGCAGCAAAAATTTTTAATACACAAACTGTCAAGCACGGGCGGCACGAAAATCCATTAAAATTTTCAAGCGCCATTAAAAATGATGTAACTATATTTCTAGACAAGATGAAAAAAGTTCTTTCACTATTAATATTTCCGTAAAACTATTACTTTTTTCAAAAAATCATTATTTTTAGAAATTACTATGAATTTTTATAAGATTGCACGAGTACACATTTTTTGTAAAAATAAAAAACAAGTGCGCGGTTTTTTCCGTTTGTACTAATAATTGTGTTCTATATCTTTTTATTCAATGTACAATTTTTCACACTGGTGCGTGCATTTTTAGCCTTTTTTTTCATAAAAAAAAAATAATTTTTGAATAATACATTCTACAAAAAATATAAGCCCATAATAGTAAGTATATAAAAATAGAGGACTATTTTAAGAATCGCGAAGATAATGTTACTTTAATGTATTATTAACAATTAATTTTTAAATCTTATAATTAGTATTAGCAAATTTAATTTTTAGGTCAAATATAACGGAGAATTTCCACTAAAGTTTCTATTTGCTCTATCGTGTATAGTATTATAATAAAACAGATGATTTTAAAATAAATGTTTATTTAACTTACTAATTGTGTAAAATTCATACACTTTTTACTACATTCCTTTAATTTATTTACTAATAATGTATCCTACGATCCTACATGGCTTATCCTTTCAGAAAATCTCACGTTTATAACCGATAATGACACAATGCTGAACTTACCTTGACCCAGGTTTCGTGTTTGAGTCCCACCGTTTCCCGAAACGGACTCTTCTTCCTCGTTCGCGCCCGTTTTACAGTCTTTGTCGAACGCTTGTAGTTCCGTACTGAATCGCCGTGTCGTCGGGTCCTCCTGTAAGGAAGAGGAACAACTGCCATCAATCTCGGTCGCGCAAACGACAGTTTGCGAACTAGTCGATCACGCCTGATTTGAAAGTTACGGAAGTCAAGCGTTTACGTTGCCGATCGTTGGGGAATAAAGACGTTAGCGGCAACATTTTAAATGGTGTCTTGAAGCGGAAACCGACGCATGCAGATATTATGCCATGATGTCGCCCTCCTAATATATATACAATAACTTACGATGATAAGTTACGGGAAGTTTAAACAAATTGACCCGCGAGTTAAAGTCATTACATTTCGAAACAAAGTTAGAAATAATTTGGGAAACGCGTGTCGAGAATCTATGCTTTAACATAGGCGATGTTTGCATTATTGTTACTATTGTTATAACCTACAGAATAAAATGTTCAAATTTATAGAATAATTATATTAATGTGTGGACACAATTATCGTTTCATTAGTGACGTACATGATATTTAGCATTAATTAATTATTCCGTATTAATTAACTTATTAAGCAATTGTTTGCAGTAGCTGATCATAAATGCTTTTGATAATAGCGTTTTCGAGGCGGTTTATGTCACATCATATTACAAGGCACATTTGAATTGGACTCGATGATTTTACTAGAAATTCGCGGTTTTACGAATTTGGGTAACAGCTATCTCAATACTGGTAATCATCAATTTTTCGATAACAGTAATGTATTCCACGAAATAAATTAATTAATAAGATATAATATGACACAATATATTATATAATACAGAAAAAGAAGATTAATTAAAATTTAAAAATTTTAATCCAAAAGAGAAATTATATACGTTGGAAACATTTTTCTCGTGCACTTTAATAAGCAAGTGCAATCGCGTTTCGCAATTCTAGTTCGCATTTCGCGAAATTTGAATCTGATAGAAAAAGAAAGCCGTCAGAGCTGTCATGGCGTAGCGGAATTGCAAACACCACAAGTGGATAATTCTCTTTTTCTTTTTTGCTCATCAAACTTGGTATAATAATGAAACAAATACGCGAATCAAAGCGCTTCCCGTGTATCGAAGAATTTCTTCTTGACGGAGCGAACTTTAAGGGAAAGTAATTTGAATACCCCGCTCGGGCGTTCTCCACGTGTGTGCGTACGTTCCATCGACGTTTCGCAATCTGCTTCGTAATTTCAACCGCAAGCATGGCTCACGCGATACGATTCATACCCACGAAAACATCGCTCCAGGAAGCTTTATATCAACGATCTTCAAAGAGCGGAAAATAGCGCCGCGCCTTCTCATCCTCTCTACGTACGCTGGCGTATTTTCGTTCTGCTTTTCTTGTTTCATTCAGGATACCTCGCCCGGTCGTTCTTTTCGACACACTTTATCGTGCGCGCACCAGTACATTGAAGGCGGTTCATGTATCTGACATAACGGCGGGTAATTCTTTTCCTTTTTGACAAGGATCTCAGATAGTGGAAATGAGATTTTCAGAAGCAATTTGAAGCGAATTTGTCTGTAAAAGGGTCGAGATGGGGAACAGATTCAAAAAAACGAAGAGGGAGGTCACGTTAAGGAAACACGACTACAGCGATGATAACAACGACGACGGCGACGACGAAGAAGGCGAGGAAGAAAAGACGACATCGCGGAACAGGCTGCTTTAGTATGGCTTCTATTCAGCGTCTTGGATTTTTCCGCCGAGTCAGCTTTGCATTATGCGACGTTAAGTTCTCGAGAATTTTCAGCGATCGAAACACACCGCGGAACCAATCCGTGAAAATCGTTCGTGAACGCATAATGCGCGCGCTTCACCTATGCAAAGCACGAGAGCGTAACATCGGTCGTATAGCGGCGTTAAAGTCATTTAAGCCGCATTAAGACTTAGGGATGTTCAAAGTAAGGCGAAATTGCGTGGCTGCCACTATATATCCCGAGGTAATCCGACATATCTTTCGCCTTAATCCCCAAGATCGGGTACGTGCGGCGCACAACTTTCCCCCATGAGAAAATTTCTGAGAAAATTGCGCTAACCGTCGAGTTCGTCGATACGGAAGAAAATTCGCGTCGTGTATATACACTCGTATATACGTTTGAAAAATCCATTAACGTTAAAAAATCCATCCAGTAAGAAAAATATAAACCGTGTCATTGAAGTTGCTAAACTGTATCACACAAATTGCACGCGTAACAGTTTTGCAATCGAGTAAGCGAAATGAACCAAATCGTTTTCAAATTAGCTGGAATAAAACGAAGTCAAGGGAGAATTTCTATTTTCTCTCAGTCTTTTGTCCGGAAAATAGCGCATTAAATCGCAACAATGGTGCTCGCATGAAGCTGTGAATTTCACGTTACTCTATTGATGGTCTACTTTCAATGCTTTAAATGAAGATTGATCGACGAAAAATGACGTAGTGCAACGTAACATTTCATGAACACAAAAATTGTGTCAATTGTGCTATTACCGATGTATACGATTTAGTTTTTTATAGTTATATTACATACTTTGTTTTGTCCAATATATTTTTTCCAATATATATTTAAATCAAAAGCTTGAAATTAAATCAAAATTTAAAACTTCAAATTAAAAACTTCAATTTTGATTCATATAACTGTTTAATGTAAATTTTTTTAAAATTAATCTACGTTTGCTCGTACATTTACTAGAAAGTAACAGTCAGCTATATATATACCGCAGACTTGCTAAATCTTCCATCCCTGTTTCCACCAATATAGGAGCTGCACGAATTTCCATAAAATTGGGAAACTGCAGCTGAAACGAGCGTAAAGTCTAGAACGTCGTATAAATTCAAACTTTCGCATTCCAAATTTCTTTCCGCCGGTATGAACCACATTCTGGCATATGTAAAGAGAAATTAAATTCTCGTGAACAAGCAATTTTACGATCTAATATAAAATAATTTGTATGCTTTTCTGAATATTATAAATATATCTAATCCATCACCTAAAACTGATTTATAAAAAATAGAAGTATGAATGCAGCAATCTATAATTCCAAATTAAAAAATATAAGTAAAGTAATAAATATGTCAAAAAAACTGAAAATTTTTGAAAAACTCTTTTAATATTCTTATATTTATATATAGTTAGAAATTTGTAAATTTTATGATAGATAATGTGAATGCATTTCCATCCTTTAGAAAATTTCACTGCCACACATTCGAATCGTTACTCGAAAAACAAAAGTTATTTGATGCTCGCGCAAGTACATGTCAATTTTTTCGTGCCAGCAAATCAACTCTACAGAAAAAAAAATGGAAGAGCTCCTGACAGAATCAGTGCCATGAAAAGCCACGACAAGCTATCCTGGTTTAAGCAAGAAAGAGCACTTTGAAGCTGGCCTAGTACCATCACATTCGAGTGGGTGATTTCTCTCGGTTTTTCGTGACGACGGCAATCCAACGCTTCAATCGTTGGTAGTTTTACCTTTGAATTCTTTTATTCGTCGACGTTCGTTCTTATTTGTAAAGATTCAATTATCTAAGTGCAAGTTAATTGCACACAATTAAAATGCTACTCAATCCCGAAACTCATCAATTTCGATAAATTTATAAGTAACACATTTAATCTAAACTTATTTAATCTAAATTATTTACTGTTATAAAATGTTTGCGATTATAATTCAATTAGAAAATTAAATTTTATTTGTAATAATACAGAAGACAATCCATATATATGAAATTAAAATTATCGAAATATATTTTATTAACTATACGTAGATCTAACATTTTAAATAATACTATGATTATGCTTCTCGTCAAGATAGTAATACTTCCTTTCAACTTGACATTTTTACTATAACTTACGTAGTCCTTTGATTTTGAATCTTCTGAGCCTTTTGCACACGATCTCATTCAGCACGGCAATTTTCCCCCTTCTTTTGTGAAGGGTCTAGCAATTCTCGAATCTTCGAAGCGAGATCGTTACCGGGTTTCCTTCACTTTGAACACATCTCCGGTACGGCAGTCAAACATATATAGCTTCACCTTTCATTATCGTACTTCAAACTGACTGACAAAAACGTAACATGAAGTAACACACTGTACGCCAAAAATTCTACAAGAGAATAGAATTAGCATAAAAAAAGATCCTGCTGAACAATTTTTTATAACTTAATATAGATAAAATAAATTTTAATTGTAAACCATTGATAATATAGGCAATTTTAAATCCAATTAGTATTATTATGAAATATAATAATAAATAAGCAAATAATTTTTCAGTACTTCTTTATTTAATGGCTTTATTATTAGCCATTGGATGCAATTGGAACAATATCATTATAGGGAAACCCGAGGCATAATGGGAACGCTAAGGTTTAAACAAGTTTAAAATATATTAAAAATAAATAAACAAACTTGATCTTGTATTAAAATATTCTTGAAAATATCCACTATAAAAAACAGTTTTATCGCAAAAGAATAGTTCAAAAAAATAAAATTACTGTTCTATTGAAAGTCCTTATTATGCATTTTATGCGGAGTATAATATAATAGAATTCCTCACAAAACTCGTTTATTAATGTTCAAGACATCTTAAAAGTGATTTATTAGAACATGCAATTTATGTAGGAATGTATTATTACACTTTTAATTAATAATAATTGTTTATTAATAATACTTTTCTTATTACAGTATATATTTTTCTTAGGTATCAAAGAAACTGCAACTCACAATCAGTCGCGGAGAGCGTTTGCACAGCAAACGCATTAAACAACTTGTATTATAGCATCTTTTAGCTAAAAATAATATCAAAACTGATAACAATACGTGGTTAGAGACATCTAAAGTAATAATTTCGAAACATTTCATTACATGGCAGCATCTCTGTAAAAAGATATCGACTATATCCCATTATACTCCATGATCCCGTCATATATATGCCCCGGGTTTCTCTATGAATATTTGCATTTGTTTCAAAATTTAATTTATTTAATAATTAAAGTAGAGGAGAGAGAGAGAGAGAGAGAGAGAGAGAGAGAGGAGAGGAGAGGAGAGGAGAGAAGAGAA